TCTTCCTTTTTGTAAGTCTCTGCTGGCCTTCTGGTGTTCATGCAGAACTGGGAGCTGTTCTTTCCCCAAGGAGTCCTCAAATAGCTGAACGCAGTTATCACGCACCTAGTAGTCTTTCACAGCCTGCTCTTCCACAGGCTGACCGCCCTCAGAATACTCAACCATTGTTCATATGACGGATGTCCTTAACTGCAATTAGAAACATAAATGGTGATCTCTAATTTACCTTTAAATTAACAGCTATATACATTCAGAACTGAGTGGAGCTTAGACGCTACCTGCACTGGCCTCATTAATTTGCAGATGACCAAACAAAGGTCTACTGAGAAAAACTGCCTTACCCAACTCAGAGAGGGAGAAGGGAGAGAAGAGAAAAAACGAGGGGAGAGAGAGAGAGAGAGAGAGAGAGAGAGAGAGAGAGAGAGAGACCGGGTTGAGACCTATGTGAATTTTAATTGTGTGAATTTCACTTCACCTAGTCTTCTTTTAGTCATAAAACACCAGCATTTCTTAAATTCTTGAAAGTACTTGAGAAGTTTGTTCTCTTAGGTATTTCAAAATCCCTCTTTCCCTTCAATTATATTTGCACTGTCAGTTAAGTGGGGATTAGCACAGAGTTGAATTTAGTAGAGGTTATCCTGTCAAGGAAAAGTTTCATTTGAGGTCTGTGAACCTTCTTGCACTTGCTGTCAGAAGAGCCTCTCCCTGGCCCCAGGATGCTAGCTCAGAACAGACCGCAGGCCTCCAGGGCTGCCCAGGCCTGCCACACTTCCCTAAGGGCTGTTACCCGCTGAGCGACAGAGACCATCCCAGCCTTGGGACCGAGAGTATGTTTGCCGGGACATGGCAGCCTGTGTTTCTGCTTTCCTCTGCTGGGTTCATTTTAGAGTTTCATATCCTCTTTCCAATTTGGTCTGATTCTCTGATGAAAAGCAAAGACTCAGAGAAGCAAACTAGGCACTTCAGTAATTGGTTTCCTGTCCCAGTCCCCAGCAGCCCCACAGTCACATGCTTGGACGAGAACATTCCTCCCCGCCCCAGCCCACAGCAACCTCCCTCTTCTCTCAACAAGGTATTGCATTTCCAGTTCTGACACTCACTCTGGCATGAACGCGAAGCAACCTCATGCTGCTTCCTGGTTCGCATGGTGCTGGGTTCCAGAGAAGACGAAATCACCCAGGCCTGGGTTCTAGTCCTGACTCTGCAACCGGCTGGTTGTGTGGCTTTGGAAATTTACTTGACCTTTCTGATCCTAACTCCCCTCATTTGTTAGATGAGGACAATTAGACTAAGACTACCTTCATCACAAGGTCGTGAAGATGATGTAATGCCTAACAGGTGCCTAACATGGTCCCTAACATTTTAGTAAGATCCCATAAAAGGTATCTGTTGGTATTATTAATATCATGCTCCAGAAGGCAGAAACTGAAACCTACATTTTTTTCCTGCTGCACACAGCAGGCGCTCCATAAATACTCCCACTGATTCTGGTCTAGGCTCCGCCTGGCAGCAGGCTCACCATCAGAGACATTCTAAGCATCTCATCGGGGCAGTTCCTATCCCCAAGCACCCTCTTTCCCAGATTCCTTCTTCCGTTGATTTCTTCAGTGAAAGAGCCACCCTGTCTCTGCACTGTTTGCACCTGTCTGCGAGCATCTCAGGAGAAAGTTCTCATTTGACAGATTCCAAGAACTTGCTGCCCAGGCAAAAAAAAAAAACCTTTATGGTGGTGAATCCAACACAAGCCTCAGGTAGCTGGCATGTCAGCAAACAGAGGGATGAACAGCCACAGACAAACCGTGACCCCCCAAAAGAATCAGCAGCAAGAAAAAGGTAGAGGGCAAGGGGTTCAGATGTGCGTGGAGCACTCCAGCTCACCAAGACCCTCATAGTCCATCCGAGTTCTTGTAATCACAGGATTACAAAAGGAACCTGAATACAGTTAAATTCTCCCCTTAGCCCGGAGTCTGAATGAACATTCACAACTGAGTTTTTCACTGAAATTATATTAGATGCTCTTTTAGATAAAAGAGTACATACACAACACTGACATTGTTTATTAATAGCACTGATTGCCCATGAGACTTACAATGATGGATGACAGACACGTTTCCAACTTTTCTCGTTTTTGAACAAGTCTGGGGAAATTTCTACCTGAAGTGGGCTAAAATTCCTGACAGGCAACAAAGAGTTAAGGAATCTCCTAGCTTCCCTAAAAGCAGAGGATGTCCCAGTGGACTCTTGCCTAGTTTAAATGAACAAGTCTTTCTCTTGTCCCTGTCGAAGATCATTTGTTTGTTCCCTGGATTTTGTGCTAAGGACCCCAAAAGAAAAAAAAATCTGCTGAAATGAATGTTATGTTACAGTCTGAGAGAAAGCTACCACAACCAAGAGTGAGAATTCAAGGCCAATGTGGTAGAGTGAAGACAACAGTCTCTGGGATGCCGCCCAGCCCCCTGTCTGAGCCCCTTGGGACAACCTCAGCCTGAGGCCCCTGTGACGACTCCAGCTAAAGTCTCCTCAGATGTCCGTGGCCTGAATCCCCTTGACATCCCTGGCCTGAGCTCCCTGTGACAGCCCCTAGCTGAGCCCCCTGTAACGTCCCCAGCCCGAGCCCCCTGTGGCATTCCCCAGCCTGAGACCCCTCTGATGTCCTCAGCCTGGGCCTCCTCTGATGTTTTTAGCCTGATGTCTCCACCCTGAGCCCCTTGTGACATTCCCAGCCCTAGCCCCCCGTGACATCTCCAGCCTGAGCCCCCCCGTGATGTCTCCAGCCTGGGACCTTGTGAAGTCCCCAGCCTAAGCCCCCTTAGATGTCCCTGGCGCCAGACCCCTTGACATCCCCAGCCTGATTCCCCTCTGACGTTCCCAGCCTGAGCTCCCCAACGCCCCTTCCCTTCCTTTGGACAGGTCCTTCCAGTCTCTTCCCGTGTCAAACGCCTTCTATGGGTTCTTCCATGTCTGAGGCCCCATGAGGCTAGGGGGTGTGAAGATTAGCTGGGGAAGCCACCCAAGCCTCGGGTGTGGGGCCCGAGCAGCAAAAAGAACAAGTGATAACAGGAACAGACACCTTTGGAGAGAACAGAAGAGTGCTGAGTGACACGCACTCTTGGATTTGCCATGGCCTGGGCCAAAATCATGGTGCCTGCCGTGCTCCCGAGCGCTCAGGGAGCCCCAACGCCCATCAGCGAGCTGGCAGGAAGCACAGAGGCCAGTGCTTTTCTGATTGGGGACGGTGGCTGAGACAGAAGGGAAAAGCGCAGGGAAGCAGCTCCGTGACACGGCAACAAGCCCTGCGGCTGACCCGCTCTAGCCTGGTGCTGCCAAGGAGGAAGATCCACTCCAGCAGACCCGGGCCAGGCCTGGCTCTGACACACGGGCAAAAATAGAAAGGCCTGGGAGAAGAAATGTGTTTACTTTTGTGATTTTCCCTAATGTGCCTCTTGACAGTTTAATCTCTCCACACACAGGCCATCCTGGCCCACAGGCCACAGACCTTCCCAACCATTCATGTGCAGACCTCAAGCTTCTGAACATCCCTGGTCCCTGTCGGGGCAGCTGGAAGCAGCTTAGGAGGCAGCATGGGGAGAGGAAAGAGCGCTGGCCAAGGTCGGTCACCGCCTGGCTGAACTGTGGAAACCTCCCCTCTAGGCTCGGCATTAGACAGCATCGAAGTATCTGTTCAGATGTTTACAGTTGATATCCAGTGACTCTCCACCAGGGGCTGTATCAACCCTCAGAGGGTATTTGGCAATATCTGAAGACATTTCTGGTTGTTATCATTCAGGGGGTGCTACTGGCGTCTAACGGGAGAGGCCAGGGTGATAAACATCCAACAATGCAAGGGCAGCCCCCACAGCAGTTTCCTAGTCTGAAATGCTCACAGTGCTGAGGCTGAAACCTGACTGATACTGAAGTGAAGGGGATGAGGTGGGGGAGGGGTCACAGCCCAGTTCCCAGGGCAAGAGGTATCATCGGTTCTGTCCTTCCCAGCCTTCCTCCTTATTTTCCCTGGGAATTACGGGGCCATGTCTGCGTTGCTTTTCACATGAACATCTTCCTTAAAACGCTGAACACTGCTACAGTACAAGAGCTCCACTACCACACAAGGCGAAAACACAAACACAAGCAGTTACGAAACCAGGAGAGGCAGAGGGCGGGCGGTGAGGCGTGGAGAATGAGACCCGTGCCCGTCACTCCGTTCCTGGGAGTGTTTCTGAGGTGACAGCACAGAACAATGAGCCCAGGGCCAGCCGAGCTGTCCAAGGAACAGCAGGGCTGAATCAGGGTACCTGTGTCCAGACAGACGCAGGCTTGCAGCAGCAGATTCAAAGACACATGAAAGGGTTAAGCAATCAGTGCCTGTCACTTTGGTGTTGTGGCACTAGGTCACCACCGGGCAGTTATCACAAACAGTTCCCCTGCTGGGGGAGGTGGCTGCATTCCAGTCAAGGGGTTTTGGAGAAACAGGTGTAATGAAGGCCTGGTCAAATTATTTATTTACTGTAAACTTTAGACTTTATGCAGGAACACAGCTGAAGCTGTTCCTCAAATCGCTGCCTGAACCCCCTGAGGGAGCACATAGGAGCGGGAGAGTCCATGTTCACTGCTGAAAAGCCCCAGATTCTCAGGACCCTCAAGTCCAAGGGTGCGGGTAGGAAGCCCTCCTCCAGATAAAAATTACCAGCAGCAATGTCACGCCTAGCACTTGGCGGTGAGGTAGATACACGGAGGAGTTGTCCAGACACGGCAGACCCAGGTCCTCCAGGACTAAACCCCCAGATGTAAGCTTACAAAGTGCAAAGAGGCACTGAACTGTACAGGAAGCAATCACTCAAACATGGCCTCTCCTTTTTACAGCATAAAAAAAAAATCTTTTTTAAAGGCAGAAGGATGCCTCTCCTCCTGCACCTCTATACAATTTTATTCTAAACGTATGACACTGAAATCTAAGAGTCTGCTTAGTGTTCTGGGGGTTCCTAAAAAGCAGCAGAGCCGCCTCAGAGCAGCGAGTCGTCCGTGCTGCAGCTCCTGCCTCGGGAGTCACCGCGAGCGCTGGGCACAGTACCTTGGCGGCTCCCCACGCCTCCCGCGCCCGGGGGGTCCTCGCACAGCTGCTGGCTGTCCTTCTCCTGCTCCAGGTGGTACCCGCTAGGGTCCCCGGTGTCATCGGTCCTGCCATTGCTGTTGCCGGAGTAGCCGTTCCCACAGGCCTTCAGAGGCCTGCGCAGGCACAGCAGCTCCTGGAAGGCCACCCTGAAGTCCGGGCTCCGGCAGTAGATGAGGGGGTTGAAAGCAGAGTTGACGTAGCCCACCCAGTTTAGGAGGATGTACACTTCCTTGGGGATGAGGTTGTCCTGGATCACGTGCACGATGTTGACAATGAAGAAGGGCAGCCAGCAGAGGGTGAAGGTGCCCATGATGATGCCCAGCGTCTTCAGGGCCTTGTGCTCCTTCAAGCAGAACTTGGAGGACCTCCGTAGGCCGTGCCCACCCCGCCCATCCTGCTCCAGGTGGCCAAGGCTCTGAGTGTGGAAGCGGCCCTCGGCCTTGTCGATCTTCTGCAGCTGCCTCTGAGCCACCTGGAAGACCCTTGAGTAGACGAAGACCATGACCACCAGTGGCAAGTAGAAGGACACGATGGAGGAGGCGATGGCATAGGCTTGGTTGGTGAAGAAGTCGCAGCAGGTCTCCCTAGCGTAGCAGCTGATGGCCTCCTCGTGGGTGGCCCGGTACCAGTGCATCTGGATGGGCAGGAAGGAGGTGAGGCCCGACACCACCCACACCACCAGGATGACCACCCGGGCCTTGTTCTTGGTCAGCAAGCTCTGGTACTTGAAGGGCGACGTGATGGCCAAGTAGCGGTCCACGGCGATCACGCACAGCGTCTCGATGCTGGCCGTGACGCACAGCACGTCCACGGACGTCCAGAACTCGCACCAGAAGTTGCCAAAGGTCCACATCTTCATGAGGATGTGGCTGGCCCCGAAGGGCACCACGGCCAGCCCCATGACCAGGTCCGCGCAGGCCAGCGACGTGATGAAGCAGTTGGTGACCGTCTGCAGGCGCTCAAACCTGGCGATGGCCGTGATGACCAGCACGTTGCCGAACACGATGGCCAGCACGATCAGCGCCATGACCATGCCCAGGCCTACCGCCCACGCCTCGTCCCGCTCCTGCGCGGGGTCAGCGCCCGGCGTGTGGCTCGCGTTGGGCGCCGGCAGGAAGGCGCTGCCGTTCCCGGGCTGCCCCATGGCGCGG